GTATAAAGAAGCCCCCCCCCCCCCCCTTTTTCACAGGGCAAAAAAGAGCTGCAGGTTTCCCTGTTTCAGACTTTAGTTCTGCTGATGTTTAATGAAGGGGAGGAGTTCTCTCTGGAGGATATTAAACTTGCTACAGGCATTGGTATGGACACTTGTTTCAAGCAAGCGCATTGCAATTTATTCCTGTTGTTAAGAGATACTATTCCATTTAATGTTAAACTTTAAGTCCAAAGTTAAACCAGGGTTTTTGTGGGTCTTAAAAAGTCTTCTGCAAATTAAGGCCTTAAAAAGTCTTAAATCAGAGCAGAAAGTCTTAAATTCAAAGTCATGGCATTAAATATTGCATACATAGCAAAAAAAAGTCTTTCAATGAAGATACATTTACTTGATGTAAATGTAAAATGAAATCTTTAAGTACAGTAAAAGTGATTTCCATATTCTAGAGGTTGGAATCTTAGCTATTCAAGCCTTTTTTTTTTTTTGTTTTTGTAAAATTTATAAAAAAAGTTATGAGGTTAGTTGGAAGTTGTATTTTCAAACTTTGAAGTGTTGCTAATACAACTCAATGTGCTCCCTATACATTTACATTGAGAACATCGACGTATTGTTTGCTTAAATTTATTTCTTAATTTTTCTTTATTTGAAAAAACTTAAAAAGTAAAGAAATTTACCTTCATCAAACCTGCAGAAACCCTGTAAACCTCACAGCCTTTTACAAACGTCCAAAATGTTTAACAAATTTGACAACATTTAAAATACACACACACTTGCAGAGGACGGTGAGCTGAGGCGGACTCTGCAGTCACTGGCCTGTGGGAAGGCACGTGTCCTTACCAAAACCCCAAAGAGTAAAGACGTGGAGGATGGAGACAAGTTCTCTTGTAATGATGATTTCAAACACAAGCTCTTCAGGATTAAAATCAACCAGATCCAGATGAAAGAAACGGTACTGTCCGGCACACCTGTCATTTGATTGTTGTTGTCTGAAAGTTATTGGCCGCTTGGTCTCATGGTTCTTTGCCGTACCTCACAGGTGGAGGAGCAAGCCAGCACTACAGAGAGAGTATTCCAGGACCGTCAGTACCAAATCGATGCTGCCATTGTTCGAATCATGAAGATGAGGAAAACTCTCAGCCATAACCTTCTGGTGTCTGAAGTGTACAACCAACTTAAATTCCCAGTCAAGGTGAGGTCATGGTTGCCAAATTGTTTTGTTTTCACAGTTAATAGAGTAGTTTCACTGGATTGGCTATAAATGGATGTCTTGCAACTAGACTAAACTGCAAGGGTGCAGCCAAACAAAACTAGAAAACAATCTAGTAATCACAAAGTCATGTACAAAATGTAAATACGTTTTTTTTTTGTGCAGTGTGACAGCTTTGTGCATTAAAACGAAAGCATTTTCAATTGCATGTTGCACAATCACATTATCTGTGAACAAGTTTGCAAAAGTATTTTTCTTGTTGCTATTTTTTTTTTTTAAAGAAAGTAATACTTTTATTCAGAACGTATTCATTAAATTGCTCAAAAGTGACAGTAATGACATTTATGATGTTACAGAAAAATATTAAGCAGCACAACTGTTCTCAATATTGATAATGTTTATTGTGCACAATAGGGATGTAACGATTACCGGTTTGACGATAAATCATGATAAAATTCCCCACGGTTAGTATTACCGTTTCATCTTTTAATTATCATTAAAACAGTATTAGATTACCGCGATTTGAACAACTCGCGATAAATAAATACTGTCCAGCATAAAGCACAGTTTTAAGTAACAGTTTCACGTGCGCACAGCACGCAGAGTGGTTTAGTTTTGAGTGAAAACAGGGCAGAAAAGCTGGGAGGTTTTAAAAGAATTATAAAAATGAATATATGAATGAATTAATTATATGAATGTACCTCTGAAGGTTCTGACTCTTCAGAAACGATTTGATGGCATTTTGTTTTCATCTTTGCTCCATGTAATACCTGAAGGAAGTGTTCTTAATCGCAATACTGCTTTGGCCAAATAAATTATATTTTAAAATATATTAAAATAAAAAGTTATTTTAAATTGTAATAACATTTACCGGTTACTATTTTACTTATTTACTATTTTACTGTATATAGGTTTTAATAATGTACATGTTATGCTGTTATACTATTTTTCATCAAATTGGTGAGCAAAAAGGGCCTTTTAAATATCTTAACAACTGCAAACTTTTGAAAAGTAGAGTTTAAACTGCACTTAAGTTCCTGTGTCCAGCTTGTTGTGGAATGAGATGCCTACATAAAAAGAATCTGACGGTTTAATGTGAATTACGCTCAGTAAAAATAATCATGATCAAAGTCAAGGGATTTGTCTTAAATTCTTCACCGACAATGCATTATTTTTTTCCTCTTGTCTCAAGATTGCATATAATATGAGCAATATGAATATTGTTCTCAATGTCACTAAATTTGGAAATTAGTCCAAGACTCGCAGCAGAGAACATATGCCACTGCCACTAAATTTTGTTTCTTCTTTTTGCAGCCTGCTGATCTGAAGAAGAGGATAGAGTCACTTATTGACAGGGACTACATGGAAAGGGATAAGGAGAATCCCAATCAATACAACTATGTGGCTTAGAGAGAGGGAGAATAAGAGGGGTAGATGAGGGATGTTAGAAATGACAGGAGGAGGCTGTTCTCAGTGACGTTGTTTACTTCCCTTAGCACATGGAGCCCCTTGTTCCAGGTTTTGTTCACTTTAACATCTTCACCCAGTGACCAACAACTGAATCAGTTTTCTCTTCATGGATTTGACAGGGTAGTGTATGTTCTATTTCTATCAGAATGGTGTGTCCAATTAGAAGAAAAGAAAATACAAAATTATTTTGTTAAAATGCTTCTGAGAATTGGACTATCCCAAGTTTAAAAAGAAAAGTTGTTTATTTTCAGACTTGGCTCCATGGCTTTTGTTTGTCTCTGGCATGTTTTTTTTTTTTCATGGTTTATTCATGCAAATATCACAACATATTGACGTATTACCTGTGCAAAGAAAACCAACACCAGATTGATTGAATTTGACTCTCTTGTTCAGTCAGTGTTGTATTGGGTAGCAGTGTGTGAAAACAGGTTTTCTCTTTGCCAATGTTTGTTCAAAGAAAAGAAGATTCAGCTGATTGGTCACAAGCAATTTATGTTCTGTGAATGTGATTTATTGATAAATAGAACAATTGAGGCTGATTGGAAATTTCACAGTTTGTGCCAAGATTAGATAAAACCAAGCACTTGTTTTGTTTGTAGGAATGTTAACGCTGCTAAACACTAACTTGTACATCTTCCTTCTTTTTCCCTCCTTGCTTACACCTTCTCACATTTCCTCCTCTTGTTTATTTTGTATATACATTTTACACACAACTTAGATGTTTGACACTCTCGACTACATTGCAACTGCATTCTTTCTCCCTGGAAACTCTGAACAAGCACAGCAGCACCATTTTATCATTCTAGTGTTTCCAAGTTTATATAACCCTTAAGTTCTGAATTAGGCCCGTATACTGAGAAGCTCCTCTGTGTGGCATCACTGGATCTGTCTGGAATTTTTGGCAATGGTGTTTTGAGAAATCACACTTAAGTGGACAGTCGTCCAGTGTCTGGAAAAAGTATGCTTGTTTTTATTGCCTCAGAATAAACAACTGTATGTGTTTCCATGATCTTGTCCCGTGTGTGTGTGTGTGTGTGTGTGTGTGTATGTATGCATGTATGTGTATATATATATAATTTATTTAAAAATTTTTTCTTTTTTTTTCTTCTAAAGTTGGCTCATATTCTAATTTTATTTAAGCCATTTCAGGCAAATTCCTAGTTTCATGCACTTAATCAATTTAGAGTTTTGTGGACTAGTTTGTTTCTAAAACACATCTTCTTTCAGACTAGTAAAAAGAAAACATCCAAACTACATTTAAGTGTTTATTTTATTATACCTTATAAGTGTCTATCAATTAAAGGCAGTTTTCTCCAAATGTTTTTTTTTTCACCTCATGCCCTAAACCAGAAATCTCCACATTAGTTTGTTTATATATCATTCATCAAACATTTTATTCCTAAAAATATAATGACCATTTTATTTTCCCTTCTGGCTCTTGACATTGTTTTCTGACGATTGAGTGATAGAAAGAGATCCTAAAAATTCATGTTAGCAAAATTACTTTATCTGGTTTTCAGGTTTCTGATCTAGAAATGTATGCAAATTGGTGCATATTTAATTACATAACGTATTATTTGCATATTTAAACATTTCAGGGGAAAACTAATACAAAACAATTGTCTTAATGTGCTGCGATCAGTTACAATTTTTAGTCACTTTGACTATATTGACTTTATTGACTACTGACTTTATGATTAACGATATCCGTAAAGTAAAGTACAGATGTATTGCAAAGTACATAGCATTAGCATCATTTTGTCTGGCATACTGTACTTCCATCCCTTGCCGTAAAATATTTACCACTGTCGTAAATGTCGTAAACAGGAATCACCTGCGGTTGAAGTGAAGCGTGGAGTTAGATCATTAAATCTTCTACTGAATGTTTAGTTTTTATTTTTTGGTTCAGAAAAGTTAACAGTTACGAGCTGTAAGATCACACAGATAGGAGGACAGGAGTGACCGATAACGACCTGGAAGGATGTTTAAAAAGTAAGCTTGAGCCGTTGTCAACCTTATAAATAGTAGCTAACACAACTTAGCGTTGTTATAGTAATGCAGTGTTTCATTTAACTAGTAGCTTTGCCTTCTCAGTAGAGATAGAAGAAATGTTGCATGTAAACGCTTACCAGTTATATATGGGATTGTAATTTAATATCTGTCCTTAATTCTGTATCCGAGACATCAACCTGTTTAGCTAACACTGCTAACTTGCTCTGTCACAGCTGACTTTTATGGTTCATTGGAAATTATTCATCTGTTTTCCTATGTTTTTATGCTCTTATTTTTTGCTAAGATACTTATAATATTTTTTAACTTGAACAGATAAGCAAACTGCAAAAAAAAGACCTCGATTGCAAAAGATGTTTACATTAAACATTGAAGGACAGACACTTGGTCAAACAATTGGTGGTAATTGTTATACCAGACCTTTATACTAGACCAGTTTCTTTATTTTGCAATACTTTGCCATAAAAAAAAAAACAGAGACCTGATCCTGTGTCATCTACAGGTATTAGACATTAAATATGCTAATTCCTTTGTTTCTCTATGTCTTCATAGATTTGATGAAAAGGAAAATGTTTCTAACTGTATTCAACTGAAGACGTCTGTTATTAAGGGTATAAAGAATCAGCTGTTAGATCAGTTTCCCAACATCGATGATTGGCTCAACCAGATAATGCCAAAAAAGGACCCTGTCAAAATTGTGAGATGGTAAGAGATGCACAAGAGTACACAATATGGAAAGTCAGTGCTTATCAATTCGAAGTACTAAAAGAGTAACTCATTTTACATCAGAGGTGTGATATTTTGTCTACGTTTCCAGTCATGAGCATATTGAAATTCTTACGGTAAATGGAGAGCTGCTCTTCTTCAGACAGAGAGAGGGGCCCTTCTATCCCACCCTCAGACTTCTACACAAATGTAAGATGGCTTTAATTTTCATCAGTAAGATGCTTTTCCTGCAGAAAATATTGCCTCAGGTTCCAGAAAATTGCTTATATTACCCAAGTTACACTTACTGTTCATTTGGTTAGACTAATGCTTGGTACTCACATGTCTGTTCTCCAGATCCCTTCATTCTGCCACACCAACAAGTAGATAAAGGAGCCATCAAATTTGTTCTGAGTGGAGCCAATATCATGTGCCCAGGCCTCACATCACCAGGAGCCAAACTCTACCCTGCTGAAACAGACACAGTAGTTGTATCTTTCCAGCTGTTGTATTATATCTAGTAATATTTTCTTCTATGACAAATGAATCGTAATGTTTTAATGTAAGGGATTAGTTCACGTCTTTTGTCAATTCCAAAAAGGACACAAAAAATACCATACGACTAATGAGATTAAAAAATATATATAATTGTGACCCTGGACCACAAAACCAGTCATAAGGGTCAATTTTTAGAAATTGAGATTTATACATCATCTGAGAACTGAATAAATAAGCTTTCCATCGATGTATGGTTTGTTAGGATAGGACAATATTTGAAAATCTGGAATCTGAGGGTGCAAAAAAAAATCAAAATATTGAGAAAATCGCCTTTAAAGTTGTCCAAATGAAGTTCTCAGCAATGGATATTGCTAATCAAAAGTTGTTTTGATATATTTACAGTAGGAAATTTACAAAATATCATCATGGAACATGATCTTTACTTAATATCCTAATGATTTTTGGCATAAAAGAAAAATCGATAATTTTGACCCATACAATGTATTTTTGGCTATTGCTACAAATATACCCCAGCGACTTAAGACTGGTTTTGTGCTCCAGGGTCACAATTATTATTGTTCTGTTCATCATACAAAGGAATCGTATGATGTAAAAGTAAAAAATGTTTACTTTTTTAAATTCAAATTTGTATTCAGCATACAAGTTTTAAACAGCAAGTATAAATAATGACCATAAATCAGTGTTATTTTAGTATTATTTATGATTAAATTGTATTAATATTTTGAATTATTTTGTTTTCTTTTTAATTTTATTTTGTGAACAATTCTGTTTAGTTTTAATTTATTTTCATTTTAGTTTTAGCAATTTTAGTGCTTCAACCAAGGCAACATACTAATATTGATATTTTATTGTATTTCAGTTGTCGGAAACAATTTTTTAATAGTTTGAGTTAAAAATAACATAACTGCCATAAATATGAGCAAACATTTAGTTGTGTAATAGTTTTATATGTAATAGTTTTGATTGGTGTGCGTTGCATATCACAGGTTGTTGTCCTTAAGTATTTGTTTCAGGCTATAATGGCAGAAGGGAAGCAGCATGCGCTCTGTGTGGGAGTCATGAAGATGTCTGCAGATGACATGTAAGTGTTTCTATGCATCTCCTGCACTTTGAATCACAATTTGGCATAAAAATGTGAAAATATTTTCTTGTCTCACTTCACTGAACAGAGAGAAAGTAAACAAGGGAATTGGAATCGAGAACGTTCACTATCTGAATGATGGACTGTGGCATATGAAGACGTATAAGTAAAGACAGACGAGAGGATGTGGTGGAATCTTTTGGACCTGTTATCACCAGGCTGCCCGTCTACTGTTTACATGAATGGACTCAACTGTGTACCATGCCGAAAGCTTTGAAAGCCACCCCATTTTAATGCACAAATAAAACCTGCATTCAAGTCATTCCAAACTGAAATGGTCTCTTGATGCTGTGAGAGCTGAATAGTGTCATGGCAGCTTAAAGCCTGTTTAAACAACAGTGTTTGTATGTGTATTTCTCAGTTTCCCAAGACAGAATCATTTGGTATTTGTTTAGATGAAATTGCTTATTACACCACATGCCACCATATACTATGTATCATATGCAATTGTAGACCCTATGGTTTTATAGCTTTGAATCAATTTTTTGTTTGCACTAAATGTAGGGAACGTACATCTATGCCAACCAGCTTGTGAAAGACACTCATCTCAGCATGTAAGGAAAATTCAATTCATTTTAAGGTAACTGTAATAAAGGGAGAACCAAAATGAGGTACATTGCATTCAAATTTATGTGTATTCTCTGGGAATCAAAACCAATAGTACAGGGTCTAAGTCTACACTTATTGGATCCTCTTGTCACTTTATTACTTTCTTTCTGATGCCACAGTTTTTAGCCAAGTCAGGCTAGAAATGACCATGAATATATAATGGCTAAAAAGTTTCATAAACAGAAACTTATTTTATTTTTCACTTTTAGTTTGTCTTGCATTGTATTAATCAACAAGAATTTATTTATTGAATTAATTTATTCATCAACAATAGAATATATTTAACCTCTATCGTAAATCTATAATATTATAAAACTATAAATTCCTTTAATTTCCCTTGAGAATGAATGCACATTTTTCCCATTATAGGAATCAGTCTTTGGAATCAAGAACAGCTGCAGCAGAATGTGTTCTCATCCTCAAATTAATACAGATTTTATAAATGAGGCCCCAGGTCTTTTTCACACCACACTGTCAAATGCAGAAATACAGGAAGAAACTGTAAAATGCATTACACTGTTAGCTCCTGGAACCCATGCATTTATTATAGTGATTACTGTGGGAAGATGTACAGAGGAATATGTGATCAATTTACATCTGATAGAGAAGATGTTTGGTCTGAAAGCTGGACAGTTCAGCATTGTTCTGTTTATTAGAGGAGATGATCTTAAGACTGAATCCATAGAAGATTTTGTGAAGAGCCGTAACTGTGCAAACCTCAACTGGCTGATCAAATTCTGTGAAAACAGATACCTGGTTTTTAATAACAGAGAAAAACGAGACAGAACTCAAGTTACCGAACTTGTTAAATGAGGATTACATCCAACAAAGAGCAATATTTTACAGACACAGTATCAACCAAGACCTGGAAATGTCTATTAAAAAGTGGGTGGAGAAAATACTGAAAGAGAGGGAGAGGCTCAAATTGAGAAATTAAGAACCAAATATGAGACAGAAATGGATCAGCTCAAGAAGAGACTAGAGGAAGAGAAAAAAAAAAGTGTAAATGAAATAAAAGCA